AGAACTAAGGAGAAACTTCCTGACAGTTAGAACAATTAACCAGTGGAACCACCTGCCTCCAGAAGTGGTGAATGCTCCAACATTGGAAGTTTTTAAGAAGAGACTGGACAGCCATTTGTCCGAAATGGTATAGGGTTACCTGCCTGAGCAGGGGGTTGGACTTGATGACCTCCAAGGTTCCTTCCAACTTTATTATTATTATTATTATGATCATCGCACAGTCAGCCAGATGTTCAGACTGGATTTGGCATTTTGTCTACCTATTGAGTCCTTACCAAGGACCTGGGATAGGCAGACATGGATGTTTCATGGTATTACAGATATCGTCGCAGGATGGAAGCAGTTCCTAGTAAGGCCACCTTTTGCAATTGATTAATGGCGAATTTGTCAATGCCGATGGTGTTCAAGTGGTGCTCCAGTTGTTTTGGGATTGCACCCAAGGCGCCTATTACTATTGGTACTACCCTTGCTTGCTTTTGCCACAGTCTTTCTATTTCTATTTGTAGGTCTTTGTATTTTGTTATCTTCTCCAGTTGTTGTTGTTGTTGTTGTTGTTGTTGTTGTTGTTATTATTATTATTATTATTATTATTATTATTATTATTATTATCCCAGAATTCCTGAGCCAAAGCAGGGGGTTGGACTAGAACAGAGGTCCCCAACCTTTTGGGCACCAGGGACTGTTCTGTGGAAAGAGTATTTTTTGTGGACTGGGGTGTGTGTGTTTGAGTGCTGCCTGCATCCTGCAGATGGGGCTTCTTCGCTTGTTTGTATGAACTTCTTTCTGGAATGCTGCAGACCTACAACATCCTTTTCAACTCTGTTATTCTACACTCTGCGTCTGTGTGTTTGGACAAACGAGGAATTTGTCTCTGGTGCATAAGCTCCCAATCTACATCTAAGCAACCAAGTCATATAATCATAAGATTCCAATAGGAGAAGGTAGAAGGTATACAATTTAAACAATGAGGACTTCCAGGAAGGGAATCTTGCTAATGAGTTTCAGCAAAACCGAAGCATCGTGAAATCTCATGGCTTTTTAACTTTTGTGGACAAAAGTCCTTTTATGGTTAAATAGGGTAGGAAGGCCTAGTCCCCTGGAACAAAATGATTAGCAACTCATTTAGCTGCAAATGTTTATCTGCTGGTCCCAGAGGTATGTGCCTACCTAATCATATAATCCTTTAAGAACAAGGTGGTGGTGAAGAGGGAACTAAGTCTTCTGCCCAACCCTTAATGTTCAACCATTAGTTAGTTTCCCTGTCCAATATTTCTAACAGGGGTCCAATACCACTGATAGCTCCAGTTCCCAGTGGAAACGAATCTCTTTCCGTGACTTTCTTTCATCAAGCTATTAAGATGTCTAAAAACCCCTTGGAGGCTTAGATGAGCAGATCTGAACTTTTTTTTTAATTCTCAGTTCCATCTTCCCTTTTGAGGAATGTTTATGGGTGAATGATTTTTTCTCCCATTTCCTAAGATTTATGGATTTAATTTAACACCCCTCTGAAAACGGGAACATCCTTCCCCATTCGAGATCCATAGCTACGAAGTCAAAGTTAATGTTCCTTCGTGATGGTCTTTGTGCCACGGAGAGGCTTATGCCAGAGCTCACAATCTGAGGCCACCGAAAGGTCACATCATTTAGGACTTCAAAAGTCTTCTTCTGGATGCTCAGAATTGACAGGGGGGGGAAACAAGGTGGGTGGTACCCCCAGAAAATAAAGCTGTGCCCCAAAACTCTGTTTCTGCATTTTTAAGGAAACAATTTCCAGTTTGACAGCAAAGAAGCCGAGGAGGCAAATATGAAAAGTGAAATTCCTTGCAATCAAATGGGGGATTTTTAAACTCAATTGGAAGGTCCTGCAACAATATAAGTTGCCTTGTTCTTTCATGATGTCCATAATAGTTAACGGCCTCCCTAACTTCTCCTCTCTCTGGTGGTCCACGAAGTCTCTGGCTTCTCTTCTTCCTCATGGACTACAGCCTGCATAATTCGATCCCAAGGGAATGCACCATGAGCAAACTTCTCCCTGGAAGTTTTTTTTTTATTTCAGAAACTTCAGATGGTCACAGAGTCCACCTGAAGCACCTGGAGAAATATTTATCAGAATCAACATAGCCAACATCCTTTGTCATTTTGCAATCATAAGGTATGAGTCAAGACAGCATGAGAAGGAGTTCCAAATTCATTCTGAAACCATCTTCAAACGAGATAGTAAAGCACAAACATCCCTGTGGAAGACGGCTTTCCTGTCTCCAGATTCTGTGAAATGCTGGAATTGCCCAACACACCAAGTCTACTCCCTACTAGTGGATTAAAGTATCACCCAGGCTTCATTGAGGTGATATGAAGTTTCTTCTGGACAAGTCCCTGCAGTTTTCTCGGCAAGGTTTTTCAGAAGCGATTTGTCACTGCCTCCTTCCTAGGGTGGAGGGAGAGGGATTGGCCCAAGGTCACTCAGCTGGCTTCATGCCAAAGGTGGGATTAGAACTCACAGCCTCCCAATTTCTAGCTTGATGCCCTAACCCCTGCCTCAAACTGGCTTACACACCATTTGCTTAACACCATCCAAATCTACATAGCTAAATGAAGCCAGTGTGGTGTGGTGATTAAAAATGTTGGTATAGAATTGAGGAGACCGAAAGCCAATCCAATCCAATCCATGGAAATCCTCACATTCCTATTCACAAGGAGCTCTTTCTCAACCGGAAGGTGGTCACGGGAAGAAAATGAAGAGCCCCATATCAACCACTTTTTGCTCCTGGAGACAAGCCAGGGTGATGTTGATGGTGATGATGATGAAGAAGATTGCTATTACACTTAAGAACTAAGCACAGAATGGAAACGAAGGGATATGATTTGAATTTGAACGCACAACATGATTATGTGCTATCAAGTCATTATTGGTTCTTGGAGACCTCACAGATAGATTTTCTCCATGACCAACTTTTCCTAAATATGAACAAAGTAGACACATTAAAATCCAGGCAGCTCTAACTCCAAGGAAAGAGTTGAATGCCAAACAGCAAAACCACTCTACAATAAAAAGAACAAACTCCATAAAATCAACTAACCATGCATGGCTAATTGATTTTTTTTAACAAATCAACAATATACATCTTGAAAGCCAAGGAAGCCAGTCCAGAAGCTACAGATGCCCAATTGGAGGAACAGTCCATTTATCGTTAACAATTATTGTTACTATTACTGTCATTATTTCCAATGGAAAAAGCTACAAGGAATGAGACACAATTTCTAGCAAAAATGGGTTATTTACCTTGGGCAAATCCTCTAATAATGATGCCACAGTCATGTTTTCAGGTTGGTTGCCAAGGCAACCCTCCCAGGAGATGGACAAGAACACAGATTATTGCATCACAGTTCTTTGGAGAAGACTATGTCAAGGTCAGCTAATGGTTTTCAGCAGGAAAGGGTACCATTAGCTAAAGGATGTAGATTGCAGATTGCAAGTTACCTCTATGCTCTCCACGTGCTTTTGGCATGACTCCACAACTGCAGTTTTTCCTCCTGCAAAACCGGAACCATGACTGAAAGGAACTGGACGCCGATAGGGCCTATGAATTGGCTCGATAACAAAAGAGCAAAAGCTCTGAGAGTATCCAACGACAGGGAGATATTTCAGGTATGCAGCGTGAAATCCATTGTATCTGCATTTGCTTTTCGCCACCAGCTGGTTGAAGGTGAAAGCCTGATTTTCTTGGAGGAGCAGATGGCTCAAATCTGCAGCCTAGAATAGAAATCAACATCCTAAGCCTGAAAAGAAGAAGGCAAGCACAATTGCAGCGATAAGAAAGAGGCACGTGTTAAGAACGAACGCTGGAGGAGGTTATTCTGTGATGGGGATGATCAGGGTTTGCTCCTTACTGACCCTGGTCTAACAGATGTTTCAGAAATGGTATCAGCTAACCTTCTCCAAATCCGCATCCACTAGAAAAAATAACAAGAGCTTGGAAACCATTAAGCTATTTCTTGAAAAGCCATTAAAAAAAACCCCACCATCTTAATAGCAATAACACTTAGACATATATACCGCTTCACAGTGCTTTACAGCCCTCTCTAAGCGGTTTACAGAGTCAGCCTGTAACCGGTCAGCTTTACCACTTCTGGTTAAATTTATAATCTAATCTTTCGCTGTCAATATTTCATTGTTTTTCCAAACTTTTGGCACCCTTTCCAACTTTTTTGCATACTAATGTGGGGGAGGCAATCTCCTGATCACCAGAATCCATTGTTCAAATATTGGTTACTCTTTATGAATATTTCCAGACATTTGTTTGTGTTGTGAAACAAGTGTTGTGAAACAAATACCACTTTACAATGCTTTGGTAAGGCTACACTTGGAATACTGCATCCAGTTTTGGTCACCACGATGTAAAAAAGATGTTGAGACCCTAGAAAGAGTACAGAGAAGAGCAACAAAGATGATTAGGGGACTGGAGGCTAAAACATATAAGGAACGGTTGCTGGAATTGGGTATGTCTAGTTTAATGAAGAGAAGGACGAGGGGGGACATGATAGCAGTGTTCCAGTATCTCAGGGGCTGCCACAAAGAAGAGGGAGTCAAGCTGTTCTCCAAAGCGCCTGGAGGCAGGACAAGAAGCAACGGATGGAGACTAATCAAGGAGAGAAGCAACCTAGAACTAAGGAGAAACTTCCTGACAGTTAGAACAATTAACCAGTGGCACAGCCTGCCTCCAGAAGCGGTGAATGCTCCAACACTGGAAGTTTTTAAGAAGAGACTGGACAGCCATTTGTCTGAAATGGTATAGGGTTTCCTGCCTGAGCAGGGGGTTGGACTAGATGACCTCCAAGGTCCCTTCCAACATCATCATTATTATTATTATTATTATTATTATTATTATTATTATTATTATTATTATTATTATTATTATTATTATTATTAAGAGGAAACCCAGATTAACCAACTTTCCATCCCAATCCTTCAGCTGAAGAAGATTAGACGATCGCTGGATTCCATGAAGCTGATGAACGAAAACCTTCTGCTACAAGAGGAAAGAAAGGTGAAACGGTGGCTTAGGAATCAAGCATCGCTCTCCCCTACATCCTCCTACAAAGCAGTGTATTATAAGGTACTGATGCACTTTGGAAATTACATCAGCAAGAGGAAAGAAACATGCACAGGAGTCTTTGGTCCCGTGGCCCATTGAAAGTGTGAGAGACACAGTGTGAGACGGTTGCTTGCCGAATGGAAGCAATGCAGATTTTTCACTGGGGTAACACAACGCTCCCCCCTTTCATACCCAATGTATATAGTTGGAAATAAATCCTCCTACAGTAGTGGCCCAAATTGTGGAAACCTTTTGGGAAAAGTGTACAGTAGAAATGCCACCTTTGGTTAAGTTTCCATTCATTTTTCTTCTAATTTCTTGATAACCGTAGCCTTGTTCAATAATACTATTTTACATCGCTTTCTGGGCGACCGGTCAACTCTTTGCACCATTACTTTAATTTTATTATGTTTCACAAGCTCACTAAATGAAAGAACACCAAAAAAATCCCAACCAACTTGATAGCGATCACATAACACACTGACAAATGTCCTCCTCTCAGCTTCAATCCATGACATCGATAACTGAATCCTACTGTGATCTGATTGGCTCATTGCCAAAACAAGATGACACCTGATTGGCTCTCTAAACACTCGCGCTCATTGGCTACAATCGGATGAAGGAAAGCTACCTGATATCAACCTAAGCAAGTTATGCTTCCTTTTTCTGGTTATTTGGCTATAACGTTTCATAGAATACAGTACAGACAATTGAACAAACTATGTTGCATTACATTCTTGATTAAATTATCTTTCCATTGATATATAATTCCAAAAAAATGGTGTTATTAGCCATCAAACCTCAAAAATATACTTTTCCCAAAAGGTTCCCACAATTTTGGCCACTACTGTATGTGAGGGGCAATCAATCAAAACTACTCAGTGAGTACATCCAAGTACTTTATTGCTGATTGCCTATATTACAAGAATCTCACCAGTCTGTCCATCTTCCCTTGGGAAATGGCAGATATGGATGTACAGTTTGACCACGGATGTTTCCTCTCCTGAACGGACTCCAAGCTGGCATGTATCTTTACCCCCCAAGAGGGCAAGGTAGCTTCCAAAAAGATTTCCTTCTGGAAAGCTAACAAACCTAATTTTGCACTCTCCTTGTTTCTTCTTCCTTTCAAAATGTTGGGATGCGTGTAACAGTGTGTTTGCCTTTCCTAGCCTAGGCTGTAGAAACGCTATATAAAAAAACCTGTAATCCCCTAGGTAAATGGAACCTTAAAATTAAAGGGGTGATAAAGGATGTGCTCACCTTTAGTTGGCATCTGTGCTTTTCAATTGTCAGCATCCTCCTGTTTCAGTTTGCATTAAAATGTAGCATGGTGTTAAAAACGCATCAATTAAAACCAGCCCTTTCCAACTGGTTCTTTGCCTACTGCCCAAACAATCTATTACTTTGGGAAATAATTATTGTCTGCCCATCCCAAAAAATTCTGTAAATCCATCATCTTCTTTTCAAATTAAAAAAAAAAGAGATCACCACTGCTCCTTAAGTCCCTGAGATCGTATTTTCCTTAAGTAGCAGATTATCATCTCTTGGGGAACATTTATCTGTGTTTGCCATCTGTCTCTCATTTTCCCTCATGAATGGGCTTTTTTTTTAAAGAGAGAAAGTAGTTCTTCTTTCTTAAAGAAGAAGCAGGTTTAATCACCAGCTGCCCATGAAAAGGGAAATCGTGTCTCAGTTGGAGCGCAGGTGGAGATCGGTTTAAGTGGCCGTGAGGACACCACTTCAAGTGCATTGTAATAAGAATTACACATCTCTTAAACTTTCTGCCAACATCTGCAGTTTGCTTGGTTGGGTCATAACCATGAGTACTATCTGGGCCAGTGGTCTGCTTCCTGAAAGAGCCAAGCCAAAACCCTTAGAATAGAGGTCTCCCAACTTGGCAACTTCAAGACTAGTGAACTTCAACTCTCAGAAGTGGAGTTGAAGTCCACAAACTGGCTAAGGAATTCTGGGAGTTGAAGTCCACAAGTCTTAAAGTTGCCAAGTTTGGAAACCCCTGCTCTAGAACAGGGGTGTCAAATGGCTGGCCCATGAGCCGGACGTGTCATCTGGAAGCCGTGCCCACCCCATTGCCGGCAATGGCAAAACCGTCCCGATATGTTGCACAATGTTACGTGATGTCGTGAGTTTGACATGTCTGCTCTAGAAGAACTTTCTCCAACCAGGTGCTTTGTAAAAGTGTTGAACAACAACTCTCATCGTGGTCATTTTCAAGAAATCATGCCCTTTGTTTTTATCAGCACCATAGGAGAACACGAATGTCATCAGTTGGGCTTACCTAGTGAATTGGGCTCAGGATAAGCCAAAGTACCCATTTTTTAAAAAGAGCTCGGGCCAGATAACAAATTACACTAATAATTTATTGTTCCACTGATATATATTAACCATAGTTCTTCACCGAGGTCTTTCCGATTGAACATTGGAAGATTTTTTTCCCTCACTCTCCCCAACTTTTAATGCATAATGTATTGGTTTTCATATTGCTGGAAAAGATGAACCTGGATTTTGAGTATTGTTTTATTATGTATGCTATTGCTATTTTTATTTGTAAATTCCCCAAGATGTTTCAGAATAGGAAGAGGTCTACCAGTGTATCAAGCAATAAAAAATTATAAGGTGTGTATACAAAACAAATCATCAGCATCTTTTTGGGGTGGCCTAGAAGTCTAAAAGAGAGAGATCAACCTAGAACATCAGTAACAGCATCGTATTCCTTCCCTCTTTTCAAGACTTCCAATTATCCTGGGTCCAGCCAAGGTCAAACTATAACAGACACCCATCCCATCTCTGGGAAAGATTCAGTGGACATCCCTTGGAGCCAGTTTGGGGACCATCTGTCCAACTTTGTGAGCTTTCTACGACAACCAACCAAAAGATCCATCTATGGTAGGAAATGGCCAGGTTTCTCCCAACTAGAAGGCTCATATTCAAGGATGTAATAGATAAAATACTGTACGGCAGACCCTCGTAAATTTCTCCACCATGAAGAAAAGTAGCTCCTGAAAATTCTATTGTAGAAACCCCAATATTGTAGTAGAGATCTCCAGGTTATGTAGACTTGACACCTTGCACATGTTGCTAGATTACAACTCCCACGGTCCTGACCATCCGTTATCCTCCTAGAAGCCATTCTTCTCTAAGAAAGATGAATTCATGATGGGCGGCTCTTTTCCCAAGTATCACATTCTTGATATTTTTCCCCAGACCGGAAACCTTCCAACAATCTGACCCCCTTCAGCGGAATGGATCTGCCTACTCAGACACTTTCAGCCAGAAACGCAAATGCTCCACGAAACAGCATCCGCAGCACAGCCTCCCCCAACAAGGAGATCCGGAAGACCAGCAACAGGAAGCAATCCAATTTGGAAAACACCATCTCTCTCCAAGAGGCGGTGGCCTTGTTCCCTTCCTTGCAACGCCTGCTGACCAAAAAAGAGAAATTCTCTATTTCATCTCTCTACGTTCAGAGCCCCAGCACTGGATTCACCACCTTGCAGAAGAAGCTCAAAAGCATGCTTGACAAAGACAGAGAGGACGAGAACTTCAAAATCCCGCTGCCGTTGCCCAAGATTAAACCTGAAGAAATTTTGAGCTGCAGGTTAGCAACTTCATCGTAGTTTCATTCCCCCCATTCCCGTGTTTCTGGTCAACCTTGTCCCCATCTCAGCAAACCATTAGTGCAGTGGTTCTCAACCTTTTTAATGCCGCGACCCCAACCGGTTGTAAGTCAAGGACTAAACCGGTCATAAGTCGAGGACTAAACCGGTCATAAGTCGAGGACTAAACCGGTCGTAAGTCGAGGACTACCCAACCGGTCGTAAGTCAAGGACTTTCCCTGCCCGGGAGTGCCGCGCATGCGTGGTTCCGCCCCCTGTGCCGGCCGAGGCATAGCTGGCAAACGGCAGAGACGGAGCAGGCCGACCACCAGCTGGCCCAGCTCAAGGGAGGTAAGGCACCCGCCGGAAAAGGGGAAAAAAATGGCGGACAGCCTTGCTTGGCGACCCCCGTGAAATGGTCGATCGACCCCAAATGGGGTCGCGACCCATAGGTTGAGAACCGCTGCATTAGCGCTTCATGGTCCCTGAGCATGCTCTATCCCCATGGCGCTATTTGCAGGACTCTCAAACTATTCCGAAAGTTTTTTCCCATTTTATTTTCAGCAAATTTGGGGTTGCATTCTTTCCGTGGCCAACCGAATGTAGAAAAGTGTTAGCATGCATATCCTGGGACCCCTATATTATATAGTATCTTCAGTTCTGTATGTCGCTATATTTGGTCTCGGTAGTTGACATTGTGTTATGATTAAGCATAACCCATAAAGTGCAAGAAATTAAATAACCGTTGGCGATCAAGTGCATTACACGCATCTTATCCTTTTATTTTCTTTGCACAGGTATCTTCGTTTGTCTCAGAGCAATATTGACACTTTGCTGGAGCTGTGTAAGGAATCTGGGATTTACATAGATTTGCACCCCCATATGAAAGAATCTGAAATTGACGTGAGCTCCATACTCTCACCAAAACCCCACCGAGCTCTGTAGGCTGTATCTCTGCTCCAAACTTGGTTGCTTATAGATTGTGTGTTGCTTAGAAAATGAGACTTTTCTGCCTGGGAAAGAACAAATCAATTTCTCAATTGAAATGAAAAACCAGGAACTAAAGACTTTTTTTGGGAAAGGATGAACGATGCAATGGTTTAAAAAACAAAGCCAACACTTACTGTCAGTAAAATTGTAAGCAAGTGAAATTGTTTCCTGATATTGGTTAATATCAGGAAGCTGGGAGAGGAGAGGGAGAAGGGGAGGGGAAGAGAAGAGAGGGAGAGGAGAAGAGAGGGAGGAGAAGAGAGGGAGAGGGGAGGAGAGGGAAAGGAGAGGAGAGGGAGAGGGGAGGAGAGGGAGAGGGAGGGAGAAGGAGGGAGAGGGAGAGGGAGAGAGGAGAGGAGAGGAGAGGAGAGGAGAGGGAGAGGAGAGGGAGAGGGAGAGGGAGAGGGAGAAGAGTGGAGGAAAGGATACCAAGAGGTCTGAAATATCTGAAATATGTCATGTTAAACCAGGTTTCTTTCAAAATATTAGATGTCAGGGCATTTCTTTTCATCAAGGCTGTTGGCGATTGCTCATTCATATCCTTAAAAACTGAGGATCTTCAACCTGTTGGGCCTCAAAGAGTTTGGGACTGCAACTCTCAGATTTTTTTTTGCCAATGTAGCCAACTCTTTTTAGCTGGGAATTTTAGGAGTTTCAATTGAGACATACCTGGAGAGCGCCAGGACACTTTTCCTTCCAAAGGGTGAATTGTTGGAGATTTTTTTCCCCCAGAGGATGATGACATATGAATGCACAATGGTGAGACTGAGGGTGCTGATGAGACACGATGGGCCATATCAGAAAATGCCTCTTCCAAGGGGTGTGTCCTAAGTAGATCTAAGCACAAATTTTTCAGCAGCGATTTGTTTTCCAATCTAGCCAACCTCTATAGACAAATGAATTTACAAGCAGAGGTTGTGTTTTTTTACTCCATTTGCATGCTGAAGGTCAGTTTACACCTACAGATCTGCAATGGTCTATAAGAAATAACTTTTGGAAAGTCAGGCCAATGGCTGGACAAGAGACACATCAGCCCAAGCCAGGAATGCGGGTGGAGAAAGCATCTCAGATGGCTTTTCCTAGTTGTCTGGAATGTAAAGGGCAAGAGAAGAGAACGTGGGTTCAAACTTGCACATCTGATGTCAGCCCTTTGAGATAATCCAGATTTCTCAAAGTCTCCTGCTATCGTCTTGTGTGTGGCTGGTTGCTTATTAACTTCATAAAGGTCCACTTGTGGTTTTGTTGTTGTTGTTGTTGTTAGTTGCAAAGTCGTGTCCGACCCATCGCGACCCCATGGACAACGTTCCTCCAGGCTTCCTGTCCTCTACCATCTTTTGGAGTCCATTTAAGCTCCCGCCTACTGCTTCAGTGACTCCATCCAGCCACCTCATTCTGTCGTCTCCTTCTTCTCTTGCCCTCAATCTTTCCCAGCATTAGGCTCTTCTCCAGTGAGTCCTTCCTTCTCATTAGATGGCCAAAGTACTTGAGATTCAACTTCAGGATGAAACTTCAGGTTTCTTATTCACATATACAATGCTTTAAAAAAAAAAAAAAAAGGTGCCGGAACTCACACACGTCATACAACCCACCTTGCCTACCCTACAAGGTTCCATCCAAAAAAGGTACCGGAACTCCGTTCTGGGCGTTCTATGAGGAAAAAAAGCCCTGCACACATATAAGATGATCAAACCTGTATCTTTTGCTGCAATAAAAATGTCTCTCTAGACACTGGAGATATAAATCTAGGAAGCAGATGCCCCAAAAACAAATGTGGAAGAAATTTCAATTCTGAACAATGATTGTGTAGTCAACCTAGTTCAATGTTCCTGTGTCAGAAATATTGGTTATTCTTGCATATCGCCACCAGATGGGGCTCAATAATAACTGAAATGCGCTATTTTCATGTATCCATAAACACAGCTTCCATAAATATTCAGCATTCCTCATGGGCTATAATATTAACATCCTTTGACGAGAAAAAGAAAAGAAGAACCACTTCTTCCTTCTCACAGTCCACATTTTGAAAGCCGCTAATGTGACAACTGAAGAACTTTTGAAAATCTTGGGGAAGAAAAAAAAAAGGCAGTTTTTTTTAAATTTATAACAGCTTGCTTGGAATCTGTAAGAATCACATTCAAGGAAGGCTGCACCTGTTTTAATACATGTTTAAATTCCCTAAATCTATAACTATATATTTGTGGGGCAGCATTTTATCCACGCTTTCTTATAAAAACCCCTTTAGGGAGTCCAATTATAAGGCTAATATTGCTTCCTTTGCTAGGTGAGAGTTCTCATAATTCATATGCCAAGGTTATCCCAAACCTCTTTCTTTTCATTGAAGTTTGCTCGGGATTAAACCTGAGATCTTGATTTATGCAAATCTATGTATTGAGCTACTTAAGCTATTAGCTAGGAAGAAGTTGTGAGCGTATTGGGGACCTGTCTTCTGCTCCTTTGATGCTGTGGTCACATCTAAGCGAATACAAATTTTAGATGCCCGAATCCTGAAGATGCAAGGTTTATGCTTTTCCCAAAGGTTGGAACTCATGTTCGCTGAAGCTCAACTGCACCTTTCTTGAAGGTCTTTTTATAACAATCCCCAGAATTTTGGAAGAGAAAGGGCATCATCACTCATCCTTGTTCCTTCCTTTTCTTTTGTTTCTGGAATAACTGAAGAGGGCACTGCAAACTTGTTTTACAAGTTTAGAGGTGTGGAAACATTTGCGTAAGCCAGGGGCATCCAGTCTTGGCAACTTGTGAAGACCTGTGGACTTCAACTCCTAGAATTCCCCCAGCCAGTCATGGTGGCTAGGGAATTCTGGGAGTAGAAGTCCACAAGTCTGAAAGTTGCCAAGGTTGGACACTCCTGAGAACTTAACCCATTCGTTTATCGGATGGAAACTTGGCAGATTTCACCCAAGCTTCCCCAGTGCTTGGTCCCATCAGGATCAAGACTCAATAGTGTGCTGCTTTGGATGGAGTAAAATACAATAACATTTTTTTGTGGCAAAAGGAACTTAATTTCACGAATGAAGTCAGTTAACAGGTGTGGTGGTTTACCATCAGCCTATTAAATACTTGGGCTTGGTGGCACAAGGAAATGATAGCCAATCGCCAGCCATCAATACACCAATCGGCCAATAGGAAAGCACCACGTAAACGTACTCACAGAACAGCCCAAAGCACGTATTTCAGTAGAGAGAAATTTCCTGAAGATGGGCTCCAGCATGAGTCCAAAAGCTTGGAATAATATCTGTGGTCATGGTGACCGATCCAAATTTGATCTTGGATCTTAATTTCTATGTGTCCACTGATTTCTCTCTAATTTAGAGGCACTAAAGAGGCATCCAGGGTGACAACGAGCAATTTGGGCAAAATCTCTTGCTTCTAGGATCTCTTGCTCTACCGTTGCAACTTCTTGCTGGCCTTAACAGTCTTCTTAAACCTTACACATACTCAAGAAACATTAGGAACGGTCAAAAAGAAAAGAAAAAGGCTCCTCTGTTGCTGTTATTTCAATTCCATTTGAAACCCACTGGACTAAATTTCCAAGACTGTTGCTTTCAGTTAAATGGGATGTCAACTCAAGATGACTGTAGGAGGACAGCTTTCATTAATTAATTAATTAATGAAACAAACCAATTTACATGGCTGCCCAACTCACACATCGATAATTCCAGGTAGCCTGGAACATTAAAAAAACACAACATTAAAATCCCATTAAATGCCCACCCCACAACATGGCGGTAGCAATAACACAATAAAATCAGTCACTTGATCAGCTCCGTCTCCATTCCTGGTCCCCAAATCTGCTGAGAAAAAGGAGGGTTTTAGGGCCTTTCGGAAAAGCAACAGAGGGGGAGGCCACCATACCTCAGAAGGAACGATGTTCCCTACAGAAGGGGCCACCACTGAGAAGGCCATTTTCTATGTTCCTCTCAGAGGTACATCCCTAATTGATGGGACCTGTAACATCCCCTGCCGGTAAATTCACGCTCTTTTTCCCTTCTGTGAATTCAATATCCTAATAAAAGGATGGTGAAGTCAAGGGATACATTCTGGCATAGTGCTACTGTAAGGCATCTGGAATTCAATCTCCCTTCATTACACCACAGTATGAATGAGCTCCTTTGCAGGGATAATTTCCAGTTAGCATAATACGCCCCGTAATGCCTATAAAAATAGGCCTGAGAATAGAGCCATCCTGCAGCTCGACATCATATTCAACATGTTATTGCATCAAATGTAGTTCTCGGTGCGTTTGAGCTTTGAAGACTCCAGGTGGGCTGATCAGATGTGGACCCTGCAGAGATTAATCTGGAGAGAGCATCAAAAGGTACTTTGGGCTATCAGCTTCCTCCTCCTTTTGCTAAAATAAATAAGTATAAATCTGAATTGGGACTGACTTGATTTAGACAGCTCCGGCCACCGTGCCTCCCGCCCGCAGGATCTTATCCACAGATCTGATAAGGCAAAGAATAGGATGCCAGACATAATTGACTTGTCCATTGATTATAACTGGGGAAAGATGCCAACTCCTTAATAGAATTTGACAATCCTGCAAGGATTTCCTCTCTGCCCTGAAAACCATTACCTTCGTCAGCGTTCTGATTGGCCACGGATATACTGTTGTTGTCAGTGGGTGGCTTCTGAAAAAAGAAAGTTTCTGGGGCTCGATCAATTTCTCGCTTTGCAAAGCTTCTTCCGATATATTAGCTATGCAGAAGTTTCGCGTCAACTTTAGTATCAGATTACAAGCGGTCCTCCTTTGGCCACTGTCTCGTTTAGAGACTGTTCACCACAAGGGCAGGGGTGAAAAAGTAACTTTGCCCCAATCCTTTCACTTACCACCTTTGCAGGTCTCTATAATAATAATAACAATAAAGTTGGAAGGGACCTTGGAGGTCATCTAGTTCAACTCTCTGCTCAGGCAGGTAACCCTATACTATTTCGGA